ATTTTCTGTGCCCTTTGCCGTGCTATTCGAAATACTGTAGATGGGTCCGGAAAAATTTTTTAACGGGTTTTTCCGCAAGAATATGCTGGTTCCCTGTTCTTGGAGCCGTCGAAACCAATTTTCTTCTAGATTAAAGGTCGATTTGATTGTTTATGCATCGTTTTTATTATGTGTACAGTATTTTCACCTGATCCATAATATATACTGTACCGTTTTTACTCAAGTACTGTACCACAAGCCCTTGATTGAGACGGGCACCCCATTTTTAGTGACTCCAAATTATAAATTAGACATGAATTGAACCTTAATTCAACCAATTTAATTTTTCCATTAAAAATAAGTTTTTCTGCGGAAACCGGTCCAATAATTTACAATTAGAATCCAGTTTTATGCACACCTGAACTTATAAAACTTTTTGAAAAATCTATACCCACCTATGAAGCGTACACCCTTTATTCCTCTCAATTTTAGAAAAAAAATGTGCTTTTGGTACTGGAGTAAATGCGGTAGTTGCTATAATCATGTGCAAATGTGCATTTTGTCGGTAAAAGCTGACCAATTTGCGGGAAAATTTCATCTGATCTACAATATTTTGAAATATATCGATGCTAAAAATTTAAAATTTGGATACAGTACAGTAATTGTATATAGGAAATATGGAGCGTCACCTTTTTGTGAGTTAAATGTGTATAATTTTTGAAATCTCGTTGTTGGTATAGTCGTGAAGAATCCATGTGCCAAAAACTTTCAAAACCTAGCCGTATTCTTCGATCATTCGATTTATTATACAGTATTTAAAATTTATTTCGCGGGACAAGCAAGGCTTTCATCGTTCGCCTCTCAAGATCTTGCATGTGCAGAAGTCCATGTGTTCTCTAATGGCAGTAAACCCGTTGTTTTTCCCCCCAGAGCGGAGAATTATCGCCGTAATTTTACATGTCTGGTTTCCCTGTAGGCAACTGTTGTGGCTGGAAAACATCATGAAGCAGCTTTATTATCCCTGTCTCCAGAAATGGTGGCATCGCACTATTATGCGGCTGAAACGACCTCGTGTGTGGAGTTATTAGGGACTTGATGGTACTTGTGGAGTCATGGCACTTCCATCTGAGAGTTCCTACGCAGTGTTGAGTAGTTTTGACCAAGCCTGATGCACAATTGACCTTGAACCTGAACGACGGAAGAAGTCTTGGAAAAATTGACCGAGAATGCAAATGATCCCGAAAACGCGTCTTTTAGGAACTTCCTTTTAGGAAATGCCACGAAATACAGTGAAACCCCCACATGCGGGTGCCTCGACATGTGGACAATTCGACACAGGGACATTTATTTTTCAATAAAAAAGGGCTTAAAAAGGCCCAACATACGGACACTGACTCAACATTGCATGAAAAAATTGCCGAAAAATTTCAAAAAATTGACTTTTATTTCGCTTGATTGCAAGAAACAGATATTTTTCAACCCTAAGATCTATGTAAGACAAATTCTTTGGTACTTTTGCCATCACTTTCCCATCCTGTCAGCTAACAAAACAAAATTACCTGTAACACAGAGGGACTTCTTTCTCTTTTTGTGACTTGAATGGTATTTTTGTAGATGCCAACATTTTGATGTAGAGTACTGAGATACACTTATAAATGCTCCAAATGTTCTTATTGAGTTGAAATTATATTCACTGAATCAAATTCAAGTGGCAAACAATTTTTTTCATGGAAGTCTGAAGAATATTTATTCCATAAGAGGCATAGAACACCAATAAAAAATTATATCATGCAAGTTTATGGGAAAACAAGACTTGACTCAGGGACAATTAAGGACACTCTTGGTGCACCAATTACGTCCGCATCTGGGATTCTCATTTTACTGCATATCATGACTGCGATTAGAAAAAATGAGCATATTGATGAAGAACTCTAACCAAAATGATGGAATCATGTTGGGGATTTTTCTTTCATCGGTCTCGATAAAAGTGATTGTTTTCAAAAATACTGTAAATTATTAATCTTCGAATTTGAAAATAAGACACGTCCGTCAAAGTTCATTTGAATGACGCTTGAAAATTCAGTGCGAGTGTATAAAGTCGTTTTGCGTGTAAAGTCGAACATCTTCAAGTCGAATGTCAAGGGACCTGCAAAATAATTTCAGTTAAGGAAGTTTCAAGTTAGGGAAATGAGCGTTTTTGTTGGGAGAAACAAAAAAAATTCACCGGATATTTTGCTTGCTGATATTATCCTGGGCCTGACATTGCATCTTAGATTGACAGGATTCTGAACTTGGAAGCAAAAGGGATCCGTTTGCCTAATCAGTCTTTCACTTCCTTTCAAAACAGCTAAAATCATATTTTCATTATTTTTCTCTTTCCTGTGTCAATGAATAATTACACAAAATCCTCCACAGAAATTGAGTTATAAAGGGGTTAAAGAGGAAAGCCTTTGAGTTAGGGAGGTTTTTTGGTACTTTCCTGTTATCTCAGTACCCATTTTTCTTCATCTTGTGAATTCAGTATTTGTTAGGTTAGGTTAGGTCAGGTTATGTTAATTGAAAGATTTTTGTAACTAACATAACCTGACTTAACCTAACTTCACCTAACCACCTCCCAAAATCAGTTTCTGCTTTCTTTGGGTTTCTGATGAAACTGATTATGGGGGGGGGGGGGCGGTTAGGTAAAGTTAGGTTAGGTTATATTAATTGAAAGATATTTGTAACTAACATAACCTGACTTGACCTAACCTAACCTCGCCTAACCGCCTCCCAAAATCAGTTTCAGCANAGATATTTGTAACTAACATAACCTGACTTGACCTAACCTAACCTCGCCTAACCGCCTCCCAAAATCAGTTTCAGCAGAATGCAGAAAAATGAAATTCACAGTTTCTGGTAGGTGCACAGAAAGTAGGTACTGAGATAACAGGAAAGTACCGGTTTGGTAGTGCATGGTTTCTAAGGTACTTTACAAAACATATGGACATATGGAGGCATTCAACTTTGGCAGGTTCGAGTTATTGAGGCTCAACTGTACTGTAATCTGTTGGGAAATCCTTTCCGAAATTAGTTATACTGGGTTGAAAGTCTCGGGAAGAATCGGTCTCATAAATCCTGAAGCTTCAGGAATTGGCACCCTGAAATCCTCCGATCCCCACATTATTTTTAATTTGGAAGAATACGTCTGGCACACTTGAGGACTCCGGGCTGGACATTTTCATCTGTGCAAAGAAAGCGGGATACGTTTCTATTTCTTTTCGCCCACGGCAAATTTTCTCACCAATAATCATGAAACCCCCTTGGGGTTGGCCCTTTCGAGACATGACAGTAACCTAGTATGACCTTGCGAATTGGGTTCCTTGGCAAAAGGCCCGAAAACGTCGCAGGGGAACGTCTAAGGAAAACGCCCCTTTTTCGCATATGTATGTGTGTGTGTGTGTGTGTGTGCATGGGTTGCGAAAATCCAGGGCACGTCAGGTTTAGGATTGAGTCGGACCATGTGTCACTCGGTCGAATGCGCTTTTGGCTAATGGGATCTTGTCCCAGTGCTTGTGGCTCGAGCACCGTTCGACGACGGTTTCTGTGGACACGAGACGGAATTCGCTCCTTTCTTTTTGAAGGTTTCCTCGACTAAAACTATTGACATTTTTTTTTTTTTCAAGTGCAGAAAAGTTTGTGGGGTGCTGGAAAATTAGAGACGTTCTCTGCTAGTGTAAGCTATCGCTAGTTGTTCTCTTTTAGTTGGATATTGCGGAAGTGGGTGGTTTATTAGGATTTCTATAAGCCCACTTCAGAAAATATGTGCCCTCACTTTTGGCATGATGATTATTTTCCCTCTTTCTCCAAAGAAATTGTTCCATTTTTGTATTTTTTGAGAAATATATCTTTTTCAAGCGTGACGTGGAGGAAATGGAAAATTCTGAAATGACAAGTGTCTGAAAGTGCCAAAAGTAATAGTCTTTTTCACCATGAGCTGAAAATGTGCTGTTGCACCTAAGATGCCTGGAAATTTCCCCCATTGTTTTCATTATTTTCGTGCCTTCTTTTGGTAATCGTTTCAGTCAAATATTTTCACTCTGCAATTTTGGTGAAATTGCGGACATTTTCGTTTATTTAGTGGCGAAATGTCGCGAAAAAAAAACTGTGGGCTTTTTTGAATTTCGTTCAGTTGCCTTCAAAGTAGCTCAAAAAATGAAGAAAAAAAGAATCGGAAATTGATTCTCCCCATTGTCAGGTGTGATGGAGGGGCTGGGCTGCTGGAATTAATCATATTGTATTTCATAAAATTTTAAAGTCTCAATTCAAACGATCTTGTCGAATCTCGATGTTTGGGCTAAAGGTTACGGATGGCTGAAATTCAATGGGAAATTCTGCACGTGAGGCTGACAATTATTGATTGAACAATGTCTGAAAGCGATAGGGCTGCATTGCCGATTATTTTTCTTATCACAAACTTCGAAGAGCTACGCATTCCTCGGAAAATTCGCTAATTTTTATTTTTAAATTCTGCAATTTGTAATTCGTTTCCCTCGTTTCTTTTGAGATTGATTTCAGCATAGTTTTTTACAATGTACAAGTCCACACGATTCTTTATTCGTACTGGTGCTTATACTGTATCTCTGCTGTAGTCGGACTCCGCACGCCATGCTAATCTTAATTATGCTTGTCCAGTCAATTCAATTTCTTTAAAATTCATTCAAATTCTATCTGAATATAATTTCAATTATTAATTGAACGTCTCGATCTAAAATTACGCTACCCCATTGTCGTTTTATTTATAGTCGACTGGAAATGAGGGTGCAATTGACGAATACAATTGAGTTGGGTGCAATTGACGAATATAATTGAGTTGGGTGCAATTGAGTTTTGTCACGAAGTCTGAAAGACGAAGGACTGTGAAGTTTTGTCAAGTTTGTGGTTGGCGAATCGATTGAAAACTCGGCAATTCTATGATGAATCTATTATTCTATGATTTTCATCCTTTTTTATGTAGTATTGAACTAAACCGTGGAAATACTGTGATGGCATTTGCCGTCAATCTCCCATCAACTAAGTAAGTAAAATTCTCAATTATCGTTTTTAATTAAGCTTCTCAATTATCGTACAGGTAACGAGTTTCGCTTTTGTTTGTTTTTTCCTGGAATTGCGAATCACAAGAAAATGAATCTCATAATTCTCCCCTCAACGACAATTAAGTATGATACATAAAGCTAAGGAATTTCGCTGTTGAAATATGGTGTAAATTTTTTTTCCTTGAATTGCGAATCACAAGAAAGGCAAAATGAATGCTCTCGTTAGTGCTCCGCTGCCTCCTCTTCAATACTGCATTTGTGCATGACTTGTATGTGTACGTGATGCACATCGTAATCATGTAAAATTTACCTGATTCTTTGCTTCACAAAATTAGTACGTGAAATTCCAAATTCCGTTTGAATTTTACAGTATTTTTTTCTGGATCATTACCGGTACCGGATGTTCTCGATTATGGACCAAAACCCTTGCTTGAGGTGTTCGTAAAAAAAGCCGACGTGATGAAGAAAGCGATACATTATTTTCGACATAATTTTTCCGCTTTTCCTGCCATGCATTTGAAAGATGAAGCCATTTTTGATGGAAGTTTTGCAATGATGAAAATTTGACCTGCTTTCACCGGAATCTACATACATACTGTATTTTAGATCGAGAGAATCTTCGTCAAGTGTGATTAGTTCACTAATCAGATGAGATTCATGCCAGTATTCATGTGTAGACGCATGGGAATATTGAATTGAATTTATTTTGCAAGCCTTTTATTTTTTTGACGCAGTTATCAGTGCTAAAAATCTGTATCTTTTATGTACTCGACCTCGCGTCAAAACGGCTTTTTAATTCTACCAATGCAAAAATTTCCAATTTTGCATCTTTTGGGAACTGGTGTCAAGAATATTATCTAGACAAATAAAGATTTTTAAGATTGAGAAGAAAACTTTTAAATGAAACACGAATTTGGCCAGGCTGTGACCAGGGTGAAAAATCACCCTATTTTAAGGTTGGTGTAATTTGGTTTTTACGCACAAGTTCAAAAAGGTATCAATTTTGCGTAGATTGACAACAAAACAACACCCGCGAATGCTCAAATCGGAATGAATGATTTTTGCCAGTTTAGGAAAACAGGAAAACTGTCATTCAAGGACAAAAAACAGCAAACAGGATTTAGCAATGAAATGCAGCCTTGAAGGCTCAGAAAGAAACGTGAGAACCAAAGTCTTCAAAGATTCTCACAGAGATGGAATGCAAGAGGATTTTTACTGAGGATTCAGTTCCTCTGATTTCGGCGTGTCAAATTTAAGGATGCTATTTAATTTTTGCGACAACTGGGGAACACGAAGGAACATAAAATATGAAAGATGGAAAATGACTCAAATCTTGCCCCCTCCCCCCCCCGTCATGTCAAGTCTACCTTATGAAACTTTTAATTTGCCCAAGCCTGCTTTCATTTCGAGTGGAGTTTTTCTTCCCATGATTTATTGGCTATGTGTAACAATTGTATTATAAAAATGTATTTAAAACCCTGAAAGGAAACTCGAATTTAGGATGTGCAATTTTTACTTTGCATTGGACAGCATTACAGTCCAACACTTGAACACTCTAAAGGAAGATCTGGTAGAAAGTTGTGTGAGAAAGCAACAGCAGGAGCAGAAGGAATTTTCCTACAGTTCATTTGCAAACAGGAAGCATCAGAAATATTTTACAGCTATGAGCATGTTTTGAATCGACCTTCGCTAAGGAATGATCGACGACGTTGTCTACTTTGAAACAGTTCACCATGAATTGTTTAAAGCCCGGGTGTGGGGAACAAAGGCGATGGATGTTCTGCTGGTCGAAAATCGATTGATGCCATACTCTAATGCCGTTTTTCGTAGAATGAGGCCAAGTTAAGAATCGCTGTGATTTTTTTGTTCTTATGGGAAGTAATTTTCTGGGTGTGGAAATCGATGGGGAAAATGGGATTCTTTTTTTTTTGTGGCTCGTTACCTGGATTAGCACCTGTGCTTTGAATGCATCATCAATCATTTTTTTCTTTCAACATGTATTTTAATTGTTGGAAGTTCACAAAATTTCGAATTATGTTAATAACGATAGGGGATTCGATGTACGCATTTGGATGATTAAAAGCGCTGTATTGTGAGATCAGAAATGTTATTTTAAATGCTGTACGAATATTTGTGTCGAAGGCTGTTGAAGGGGTGATCGTTTCACGTGTATTTATTTTTCAAAACGTCATTGCCGACGAATGGAGGATGAAAACTCGATTTAATGAAAGTTATTTCCAGAAATAGATTTTAAAAATCGAATTGAAGGAACGGTACTTTTCAAAATCTGCAATTTCCTATCGTAACGCAACGTAAAATAATGAACGTTCAATCACGAAAAGAATATTTCCTTGAATTTTTTTTCGTTTAATATTCTAGCGATTGCTTAAATTATTCAAAGATCCTTTGTCTGTTATTGAATAATTTGTCCGTATTCCTTGATCGTATTATGGAGTCATAAGAAAGACCCCATTTGAGGATTACCTCCTTAATAATCCAGTAAACGTTTTTTTTTTTTTTGCGGGTCATTCAATTACGTATAGTTTGCATGCAGTAATTGATTCGAGACATCGATCCCAACTTACGAAGTTTTCGTGTTTTCCACGAGCCATAAATATTTTTCATGCTAGACCAAGTTTTTACATGAACTTGAATCATACCATTTTTTATATCTTTGATCGATAAGAATTCTTGTTCAAGCAGACACGCATTTATGAGTCCTCCGTTATTGCGCTAAAGTGGCGAATTTATTATTATTTTTTACGCCGTTGAAAACACATTGTTGATTACTGCAATTTTTCACTGCCATTTCATTTTGATTCCTTCGAAATAAATCTGAATGAAGTCGCAGCGGTTCAACTGATCTCAAAATTAATGTTGAAAGTTTTTTGTGAGCGATTGAGAATATTATTGTTGATTGCTGCAATTTTGATGGCCATTTTATTTTAATTCCTGCGAAAGAAATCTGATTCAAGTCGCAGCGATCCAACTGATCTCAAAATTAATGTTGAACGTTTTTTGTGCGCGTTTGAGAATATTATTGTTGATTGCTGCAATTTTTTATTGCCATTTCATTTTGATTCCTGCGAAAAAAATCAGAATCAATTCGCAGCCGTTCAAGTGATCTACAAAATAATGTTGAACTAGTGTGTGAATGTCGTGAGATTCAGCAATTACTGGAATCCCATAGTTGGACTTCTAGTTCTGCTTTTGAATTACTGATAGTGCCAATTTGAAAATTGTGCAAAGATTTTCTGGCCCGCCATGTACAGTACGCGTATTTTAATTTTCTTCTTTGAAAAGTGCCCTGATCTCAGATTAGAATTAATTTTTTTTTTTCATGAATGAAATCTGGATCGCACAGCACTGCTTCTTACTTTTCTTGAAAGTGGCTCATGTTCCTCATTCATCTGTTCACAGAGAGGAGAAGCTGGAAAAACAGAAGAAACAGAGGAATCAGAAGATTAAAAAGTACGCTTTGATCGGAGTGGCGACGGTCGGCGGTGGGGCACTGGTGGGCCTAACTGGCGGCCTAGCGGCGCCACTAATCGGCGCCGGTGTGGGGACATTACTCGGAGGTGCTGGAGCAGCTGCTGCGATATCCTCGACGACCGGGATGGCGGTCGTTGGGTCCATGTTCGGGGTCGCAGGCGCCGGACTCACAGGTGATTTTTTTTCCACTTTTTGTTGTTGTTGTTGTTGTTGTAAAACTGTGCATTCTGCTTGGGTGGGAACGTGAAATCAGTGTTCCCCAATCCCTGGTCCGCGGACCGGCACCAGTCCGCGAAAGTTTTTTTTTAGCCGGTCCGTGGGAAATTTTCTTCAGCATAGTAGATTTATGGATAGTACAGTAAATATATCAAGTATCAATGAATTCTGTTTTCTTTGTCTGAAATGTTGGAGACAATGGCTGTTGAATTTATCCGATGAAAAATAAAAGTTGGGGTTTTCCTCCTAACACTTCCGACAAATTTTCACCTGCTAAAATAAAATACTGTATTTTACATCCTGAGAAACCTTTCTTGAAGCTAATTTTTCAAACTTTTTGGAGGCATTCCAGTACTGTATATACAGTGGCTGCTTCTATGGTTCTTTACTTAATTTTTGCAAAACAGGAGAAGCTTTTAAGTATCTGCCATAAAGTCTTTCAAGCAAAACATTTTTCAGTCTGCAAACACTTTTTACAACTTTGCGTGTATGCAGAATTTTTTTTTGGGAATTCGCCGGCCCGAAAAAAATTTACGGAAATGTGCTGGTCGTAAAATTTTTTATTGAAATTTGTCGGTCTGTGGGCCTGAAAAGGGTGGGTAACACTGCGTTGGATCACTCAGGGGAAAATTTATCCTTACAATACCAACTTTTGCGAACAAAGCCCGAGAAAATTTCGAAAAAGTTGAATCCGAGTGTGTGGAAGAATCACGCCAAATCTTGTTAATCGAGACAGCTACCATACAAAAATTGAGTATTTCTGGAATTGACTTCAATAGCCACCCCCCTTTTCCATTCTTGAAACCTGGTCACAAAAGGTTGATACTGTATATAATCCAGTGGTGAAACTCCTGAAATGGTTGAATACTGTAATAGTTTAGACGACGCCGAGTCTGTTTTGGGAGAAAAAAAATTCAGTATATATGTATTCGATTTCTCGTGTGTGTAAAATACTGTACTCTCACGAGATTTTCCTAGCTGATTTATTCTTTTTATTGAGTTAAAAAACAAATATTTCCTGACTCTTGTTTGAGCTGTTGACTTGACCACGCTGTGAGAAATAGATGTCGTGTTTGTGTTCGTGAATCGAGGTCAACTCTCATTGGGTAGTAAAGGGACCCAGTAAGTGTTGTTACAGTAAATGGACCTCACACTTGATACACAGAGCAAGAGTCCTTGACAAGTGGTCAAGTCAACTGCTCAAGGAAGAGTCTCAATTTCAATTATTCACAATCTTTTGTCGTGTTTGCATTTTGCACCCAAAAAAAAAAAAAAAAAAACTGCGTGATAAATAAATGAGGGAAAATTTCTGTACTGTATCCATGTGCAAGTCGAGGAAGCAGTATTAACTGATTGGTTTTCCAGATTTGTCGATCAATCATTTTTCTTCTTAAAAGCAGCATTGCTCAAGAACGGTAATTTTTCACGCATACCGCAGTACTCAGACTTCGTTGGAAATGAGGAATATCTTCCTGACGGTATAATTAAGTACTGTACAGTATAGCATAGGAAATGAATCAGGGATATTTGATTTTTTCGCTTGATTGCAAGTGCTAAGTTTGACAATAGGGATCATTCCACTTGAGGTCTGGTCATTCGGAAATTTTCAAACACTCAAATTTTTTTCTGTATCCCGTGATTTTACGCGGAAAGCATGTATACCATATGGTATATTTTGACCAGGTTGGAGCTACTCATGAATGAATGAATTAATGAATGAATGAACAGAACACTGTAATTGCCGCTTTTCAGCGTTCACAAGGTTCAATCAAGATTTCCACAACCAAAAATTGCCGGGAAATATACCAGCCTAATTCGGCAATCATCACCAAAATAATAAAACCACAACACGCAGCTTTCTCCTTTTCAATTTCTAACGATCTCACCCACGTCAAGAAAATTAGTTCCCGGCAAGATTTCCACAACCAAACCCCCTTCCCACCCAACCCAAATCCACTCAATGACGTTTAATCACCTCAGAGCAGGAGAGCAAAAATTGATGGAAAAAAAACCTACTCATTGCGTGGCAGGCGATACATTTTTTAACGATATGTTCTCCCATCAATGTGCAAATTCAGAACCTCATTCATCTTTATAACTTTAGAACTTCTACTCTGTGCTCATCGTATTAGGTGATTTCAAAGCTGAAAGAGGGGAGTAGCAGTTGTTCTTCGTGTCAAGGTTGTTGTTGTTGTTGATCTGGTTTTCCAGCGTGTCCGTCGAAAGAATGAGAACTAAGAATACTGCATGTGAAAAGCTGCTTTGTTCAAAGTTAATGAGTTGCGTGAATATTCAGAAAAAAAAAACAAATCGAGGCGGAAAAGCAGAGGAGAGGTGCGTGCTTGTTTTTCATGGCTCCAGAGTTGTTCAGGAGTCAAGGCCCACCCTTTTTTATATTTTTTATTTGCTGTCGTTGTTGTATGTTTCTGAAGGTAAAGCATGTTGTCTCTCACATCTGCTACTTCGCATTACCTTTTTTTCTCAAATCTTGGAAGTGTAAGATCTGAAAAAAAAGCGCACTTCCACAGAAACCTTGAATAATTTAGTTCGCTTATCTTTTTTCTTTGGGTTGACTTTTTTTTTGTTGCGCGTTGGTGCCCTGATTTCCGGATGGCAGGGCCCTCAGGGTCGTCTGTTGGATCCGGTTGCTCTTGGAAGTTTTTAAATAATGAATGACGGTCCCCATGGCTTGGTTTTGGGGTTAAGTATTTTTTTTTTCTGTAACAGTAGCAAAAACGCGACATTTTTCCGTCCTGTCCTTGTGTGTCTGTGAAGTTTACACCTGAAGTTGAGTCTCGGAGAGACGAAGGAAATCAAGTTGTCGTATTGTCGAGTATGCAGGGTTTGGGATACTTTTTCCATTGTCTTTGTAGGTGGAATTGATTATTGGAGATATATAAGATTATGGAATATATAGTGGAATATGTAAGATTTCTCAAGAGTCAAAGTGTCAAGCTGCGTGTGGTCAGATGGTTTGTGCCTATACTTTCGTTCATTGTTTTTTTTTAGAACTTCGTTCCATAAAAAAAAGAAATTCACTTTCAATCGGAAATCATGCCGGGAACTAATTTTCTTGACGTGGGTGAGATCGTTAGAAATTGAAAAGGAGAAAGCTGCGTGTTGTGGTTTTATTATTTTGGTGATGATTGCCGAATTAGGCTGGTATATTTCCCGGCAATATTGAGGTCCTCCCTTGCATTTGTCGGAAAGAAATTTTCATTGGAAGATCAAATTTTTTTTGGAGTACTTGAGGAATGTCACTTTCATTCCCACGAAAAATTTCAGATCTACTCGAGCTTGAGTCATGATTTTTCCATGCATTTTTGATGACTGACAAGCAATTCGGAAATTTTCTTCGAGATAAGTGGAGTATCCATTTCTTTTTACGGAAAAATTTCCACTTTACACAAAGCTTTCTTTTAAATCAAATTTATTTCGAATGTTCTTTCGTGTGTAATGGGATTAACTATCTCATCGATTTTGGTTCGATGTCATAGACTGCGATGAAAAAGGAACCATTTTTCATTTGGTTTTTACGTGAAGAGATTCGTGGAAATAGATTGTCAAGTTTTTTAATGATCTTGTTTTTTTTTAATTTTCAAGCATCGCAGTTAGGTTAAAAATTTAAACTTCTGTGAAAGGAGTTTTGTAATTAGCCTTTCATAATTCATAATTATTTTAATAAATTTCACATGGAGTATTACGGTATCTGTTCTTCAGCAACTTCTTTGACATCCTGTTTTTAAATGGCCATGGCAACCACGCAATTAGAATCTCACGATTATTTGAGGCGACATGGAAAAAACCATTTTAAATGAAAATGCGTTTTAGCTGAAATTGAGCGTTTGGCTTTCACGGCCTTCGCAATTTTTCCTCGAAATCTGGCCGAAATGTTCTGTGCCAAGCATTAATTGTCTCCCCTGCAGTGAATAAAAAACCGGTACTATCTGAGAATGGCGGAATTTCATTGCGAACAGAGGGCCGAATTTTAAATTTTTTAAAACATTGAATATCAGCTACCGGCCATCTCGAAATATGTTTCTTTCTCAAGCGAAATCTTTCTTCGAAAAAATTCTGAACATTTTGTTTCACAGGAGTGCTGTCCAACTCTTGGACCACATTAATGCATGTTGCCAAGGGCCACATTACAAATTGGAGAGTCCTTGTGGGCCACAATAGACAAATCATTTTTGATGTTCAAAATTCTCCTCTATCAAATGTAAAATTTCAATTCTGTGCCATGTAGTGAAACTATCATTTTTGAAGGGTGGAGAAACATTTTGAATTTTAAAATCCATATTTAAATGTAAAATTTGAATAGTGGCGGCTGACACTTCGAATAATCGGGGGAGGGGGGCTGCGGGATGCGTTGGAAGTCCTTACGGGCCGGATCCGGCCCGCGGGCATCAGTATGTTGGCCAGCACTGTTGAACAGTATCAGCGGAAAGAACCCAAGTCGTACGTTTTACGTTTCGAATTTTCCCCCAAATTCTCAGGCTTCAAGATGCAGAAACGTGTCGGAGATGTGGAGGAATTTGCGTTTGACTACCTCACTGAGGGCACGGAGTTGCACATTACCATCGCAGTTTCGGGCTGGCTGTCGGAGAAATCGAACCTCACGTCAGTCAGCATTCCTTGGAGAACCCTATACAATTCCAGGTATAGCCCGCTTTTTCTTCCTTTTCTCTTTATTATTATTATTATTATTTATTTTTTATGGGTGTGCGAAGGATTTATCGCAAAATCCTTGTGAAGTAGGTGACACTTCGCGTGAAGTTTCGAAGTTTTTTTTTTTTCGTGCGAAAAAAGCATTTACTGTGTAATATTCCATCGCCGGCGGATGGAAGTTGAGATTGATTTGGGGTACCCTCAATCCGAAAAGGGCATCTCTGGGAACCCGAAGACGTATTTTCATACTACTTATTTTTGTCCATGTTTTCAAGGATCTTCGAATTCGGCTTAGAATTTTTGTAGGCTTTGCAAGAACTGTTCGAGGGGTTTAAAGCTTTAATTCCTCAAAAAATCGAATCAATGCCCCGCCATATTCTCATTGAAGGTGTTGGGTTCCTCTCGTCAAAAGAATGTTTTTATGTCACCATTTCATTGGGTAAAATAATCGGAAAAGAATTTTTTTTCTTTCGAAAACTGTCCGAACTCGCGAAGCAGCAGTTGCAAAATTTGTTGCTTGGTTCGTTTTGCAGATTATTTTTATTTTTCAGATTTCTACAACCCTATAATCCTCTCAGTTTTACTAACTTCATTTTGTGGAAATTGCGGAGCACTACTGCCCATTGCCAAACCAAATCATTTGAAAGTCTCTCAAATCCAAATAAACTAATCCGCTTTTTCTGTTCACCGGAATTCACTTTGACACCTAGTAGCAGAATGCGTATCTTGAAAAAAGTTTGCGGTGGCCTCAAAATTATCGCATGAGGCAATTTTTGTTGGGGACCTTTCCTTAAGAAATATATTGTATTCAGCAGGAACTTGATTAAAAAATACAGTAGTGTGTGTTTCTAATTGCCCGTAGCCTCGATTTTTCTCTACATTGATGAATTGATACGCGAGGAGTAAAAAGTACTGTACAGTACATTTATTCGAGCATCAGTGTGGAATTTTTTTTTCCTGTGCGCAGAAATGCGACCTCGCAATAATATTTAGACATGATCAATTTCCTGAGAAAATGTCCTTAGGAATAGCAGATCTATCAGGAAAAGCGGGATTTCGTGTAATAATAAAAATAATAAAATGTACAGTGACGAAATCAGAGGATTATGGCGAGATTTAAAATTTTAAAGAGACATTGGGTGTGTCCGGTGGTTGTCTCAGTTCCGTGCGGCAAAAATATTCCCGAAGTCATTGCTGAAGCCCATCACGTTTCAATCTTTTTTCAGTAAGATTTCCGCGTTTTTTTTTTCCTTCTAATGTTCAAGACCTTTTTTTTCTGCAGTACAGTACTTGATGAGAATGTATGTCGGGATGGGTTCCTCGTTTTGCGGGGAATTAATTTCTCATTTCGCTGCCGGCTTCCCGCGGGGCCCTGGTGTGGCTGATGGGTGATGCGTTCATATAACGGGTATCCATTGCTTTGAAATCGGTACCTTGCGTGTTGGAAGGGAATTGGTGTAGGTCTTTGACACACGTTATTGGCCCCCGGGAAGTGGTGCGTGTGTGATCGTCGAGGGTTTGAGCTTTCAATTACAATGAAAAAAGGAGTCATTGTCGATTTATGTGAGTGGACGTTGGAGGGGAATGAATGGATTAATCTGCGTACTGTACTCTGTTTCTTTAATTTTTGCAGCTGCATTTTTGCTGTCACGCGACAGTCGTACATTTTTTTCTAAGCTGTGATATGTGTTAATGATCTGTCTTCGGCTGTTGTAAGTGACACGGCAAAGGATTTATGTTGTCTGAATGATTAATGTTCGTATGCTATCAGCTGTGATGAGTCTTCTGCCTATTAAAAAAATACTTTCGAAGTCTGTTTTTCTACCATTTGCCAAAATTTTTTTTGAAGTGTGCACATTTGAAGCTGCGCATCGTGAATAATGTTTCGTTCAATTTTTTGAAATCTTCATAATTGAGTTGGATTCTTTAAATATCCGAAAAAATATAATATTTTCTTGATCAATTGATGATTCTTGGTTTTTTTACATGCGTCTTCGATTTGTTTCTCTGAAAAACGTCTTGCTTCTGCAGAATTTCGAAAAATTAAAGAGTTGTACTCGTGAAATTTTCCAATGAAGTAACAGCTGATTCATTTGGATTGAGTTGAGGCCTGCGCTGTATATTCATGGTTGAGCCCAACAAACTTCAATAAAAATGTTCAGTATTTTTAATTTTCTTCAGGGTAATGAAATAAATTTTTGACAAACAAAGCACGGGTGCGTATACATTTCTTTCAAATTGCGGTGTGCTTTTGATGAACCTTGAGAAATCCAGTGCGTCAATAGTAATATCTGCCATTTCCAAGAAGTTTTGCCTGCTCATTATTATTTTTTTGTTATCTTGTTTACAGGCACTACAATAATGCTGAAGAATTCGTTCTCTGTAGAAGCTTTTGAAAAAATTACCCATCAAGATACATTTCATACGAATGTAGATATCAATCCCGAAATGTCAGCATATTACAAAAATATCACCCAATATTATGCATAATGCGAAACGCGAGGGACATTTAAATAGGCAAAAAAGGGAATTTTGGTTAACTGTGAAAGAAAACTCTGTGGTGTGTGCTTCTGAACGTCGTTAATTGAAAAGTAAGTGTAACATATTTCAGAAGGCCATAACGATTAGTTTATCACATTAATTGTGTCGGATAGAGACTATTACTGTACGCTATTATCCGCTGCCATTTTTTTAAGAGTTTAAATGTAACGTCGTGTGATGTACGTGCGAGACTGGGTCGAAAAGGTTTTATTAAATATTAAACAAATTGAGGAACTGTTGTGATTCATTTGCTTGCACGGCCATTGGCTGAAAGAACACGACAAAATGTGGAGGGATCATATTGATTTTCAAAATACTGTAGTAAAAAACAAATTCAAATAACGAACAAAACAAAACTGTAAAAAAGCGGACTCGTTCGAGTATGAAGGAGAGATGAAAACGAGAGACGTTATTGGCATTTAATTCGCATTTCTCGAACCGAATGCTGTTGATATGAAAGCGTATTAAAATATTACCTTCGCAACTTGACTTCGATAAAAATTGATTCCATAAAATGTAAAAATTCGCCAACGCGTCTCAATTTGAGTTTCTCAGCTGCGATCACAATTGCGAAACTCATTATAAATTTTTTTTTCAAAAGTTCTCCTTCCCGCTTGACAATAATTTGATTTCATATGCAGTATTTACTCAAAAATATGACCCATTCTCACACTACATGATCTTAATAATCTGCGTTCTAGGAAAAAAATATCTATATTTGGGATAGCAGAATTTTCAGTAAAAATACCAGGCACAAAAAAGATTCAAATTTAGTCCTTCCATCAATTATTTTTAGCGCAGATTTTCGCGAGATGATGTTCTCGAGTGAAAACGAGCTTTTTCTCGTCTTTTACGCAAGAAATCCATTTTTGTTGCTGAAGATATGCGAATGATTGCCTTCGTGACGATCGAAGAAGAAAATGTTGCATGATACGAGGTGGAACCCGTGTGACTCCCAAATTGTCTGCGAAATGATCCCCGCGTATATATCGGAACATTCGAACAAGTTATTTTCTCTTCCCGAATGCATTGCACGGGACGATCCATCAATCTCCATCTTATGCGGATCCTTTGCCTGAGGTTGAAAAAAAAGGAGAAAGAGAAAAATAGAGGAGAAATTCCGCAATCAACCTCCATCATGATCTCACGCGAGGAGACAATCCGTGCGGAACAGGAAACCCCCCGGCCCCTGGAAGGGCTGTCTTGCGACCCCTGTGATTACCGATCGATGACCTGCGCCCCCCCTTTTTGTGTAAGAGGGGGGGGGGGGGGGGTGTGGTATGAGCACGTATACATATTCGGAAGAACTATAGGAACTCCGAATGGAAAAGCTAGGTTGGAAATGAATATCTTTTGACCTTTTATATAATCCTAGTGTGCATGGTGGTGGTGGGGTAGTTGTTTTTGTTCTTATCTGACTGGGGGTGAGAAGCTTGTTGAGGAATATTGTGCATTGCGGATGACAAGAGAAGGAAAACCCGGATTTTGAATTTCACTCAGTTCCGTAAGCAGGAATTTATACAACGTTCTTCCGGAAATAATGCCCGAACTAAGTCATTTTCCCGAACATTTCGCTTAATTTTTTTTTGGACAGCGTCCCTTTTAATTTTTAAATTTTGTCATACCCAGAACTTCTTCCCAGCGCTAAATTATTATTTTTTTGCTGCTGATCTTCAGTTTTTGTTTTTGTGTGATTCTGCCAAAAAATACCTCTCACCTTAGACACTTGCAACACCGAATGCCCAGTTACAATTTTTACTCATTTTTCCTCGAAAAACTGAAAAAAAAATTCCGGATATTAAACCTTGACCGCGGTTTTCGTGTGGAAAATTAATCTTCAAGGACTTCAAGGATTGCATCCTTTTTCTGCGAAATGATGAAACTGAAAGAGGAACATTTCATCGTACGGTTGAATGGCCTTTTAAATGTCGATTCCGCTGAACGTGTTTTCCTTCAGTCATCTTTGAAGAAATAACTGAGAATGACCAGAGACATGTGGATTAACATTTTATTCAGACTAACCGACGAAGATAGCATGAAGAATTCTTCTTTTTTCCGTTGTATCAACATTAACGATTTTCTTTTCTGGTCGGTTTCCTGGACGTGTTTTTTTGAATCAAGTTAGTGTGTTCCACCTAGTTTCGTCGAAAGCAAGACCTTGTCCTGCGGACACTCCTGGGAATTGTTGTCCGGTTTTCAAGAAAAATATAAAAATTTGATAGTATGTCCTATCGCCTTTTATTTCTTACCTTCCTTTAGAACCGGCAACTGTTATCTTTACTTTTACTCTCCTTTATGTCCGGGTTGAACTTTTGATAAAAAGTTCAATTCTCCTTTCCTTAGAAATAATCTCAGAGTCCGATGTCTCTTTAATATGTTTAATACTTAGTTTCAACCAAGTATTTACCAGATTTACCAGTAAGGGAAGCAACAAAAGTTCTCGCTGGGAAACTTCCCAAACTTCGGGTACATTCCAATAGGCTGACAACAGAATGAAGAAAGCCCCACCCTACGCAGAAATCGTTTTTCCCTGACCTTTCGCAATTTTC